CCTCGTCCACCTACAGACAGACAAGACAGGGGCATTTTACTTCAACTATATACCCAACAGTAGTCGAGAGAATTGTTAAAACTGTTTTACACAGTGCTTAGGTACTGCTAGAAGGTAGAAATTTACGCACCACAATTGTTGCCTTATGGAAGACATTTGCGACGCAAAGATCTCTGTGACCAGTTATGCCCGAGAAGTCAGCTGACGCTGAACTGAAAGTTGAGGGCATACCCATCGCAGAGATGATCTCCTTGAAATCTTTGCTTTCCGACTCTGCTAACTGGAACCTCGGAAGGCGCAACATAATTTTATGCATAAAGTAAGCGTCGGCCGAAAACACTTTCTTGAAAAGTTCTTTTTGGGAGGTCTCCAGCAATTTTAACAATACTTGATGAATACCATTTTTGGCGTTCGGTAATAAGATCAGCATCTCGTGGCTTTAAAGAGAAAAAATAAAACGAGGTAGAGAAGGCGGGAGAGAATCCGAAATAGTATAGTTCATTAGTATACGGGGTGACCGCGGAACACTGTACAGACTCCGGACACATGTTTGCCTTCCAGAATGCCGAAATTCTGGGTCAAGGAAATGACCACATAGCCAGGGAAACAATAGAGGCCTTGCACACTGGAATAACCTCCATTAATTGTTGTTTGGCGCTTCTCATAGCCTACCAAGCCCTCCGGGCGTAGCTCGGTGAGCGGAGTAGCAAGCCTGAACCTAGGCCTAGCATGTATCCAACCACTTGCGAGTTCATGACGGACACACACGGAGCCACCCCACAACCCGAACACGATGAAAGAGAAGGCATCATCTCAGTCAGCTCATGCACTCATTCCGCAAGCGCGAAACCAGACGGACATATTAGCGCAATCAAGGTCATCAGCATGGAAAGACAGCTATGGTCGATGACGGTACAAGAAACAGCTGCAAAAGTTCACCTGCCTGGAACGACAATCAATACCGATGATTCTACTGGCACACGGGTGAAGAATAAACACAGCGGACGACCCCTAAACGGACCTCAACCTGTCATCTTTATCAGGCATCAAGTGGCAGGATGATGAATGAGCCCTATTTGTTCCAGGCACCCTTTCGCTTACCTTATAAACTCGCATTAATAATGTTTGTCATCACTTGTAAATACTGTGAGGCACGGTACACGTCTCACCTTAGATGACGAAAGTTTGTCAGCTCTTGAAACATCAGGACAATAAACCCCTGGTTCTTGTGATCGCCTAATTTTATCTTTTTATGTCAGAGGACGCGCACTTCGCTTCTATTGGCAATACAGTCGTCTTTACAGTTTGACATTAGGTAATAAAAGGGGTCTGGTATGGGTCGCCTATCATGAATTAGAGGAATAGGTAGTAATAAAAGTTTGAGCTTAAGAAACGGTATAAAGTGCTAACCGATCAAAATGAACTAATCTTGGCAGTAAGAATTTGAAAGTACGAAGGGTTTGTTAGTGTACACATCAACGTAGTATATGTTGCGGTGTTCATATTTTGCATACGACATGTCCTACTGCAGATACAAAATAAATTCAAAATAAAACGGCGGATATTGGAAAAAATTTCAATATCTAAAATAATTTTGAATTTAGCTAGACGTTTAATAAGCTGATTTCTTGATATTTGTGTTGGTTTTTTATGTTGCTAGAATTCGTATGGAAAATGCAATGATTCAATTAGCATTGTGTTAGTGATGATAATAACACTGCTCACCAGTCATGCACCCTGCGGTTTTTGAATACATTAAAGTGACTGACTAACATCCATGAATGATGAAATCCCTCGTGAACTAAAAGGGCGATTGCTGTTAAGCAAACGTATAAAAACGTATGGGGTAAATCTACAGAATTCCAACATTACGTGGAGAAAATTGATAAAACAATAGACTATTAACGCACCACTGAAAAGGAATTCGAACAGCTCTACAGTCCAGCTCTTCATCAAAATAGGCCATTAATACCGTCCTCTTGGACTGCATCATGGGAGCATTGAGTTCTTCACCATTGAGCAAAGAAAACTTTCCTTTAACAGTCTGTTCACTCACAAATTTTTCTTTCCAAATGCCTTTAGAATTAGAAGTCATTTCGCCTGTCATTTACCTTTAAAATGGACTGCGCTAGCTAAAACCAGTCTCGTGTCAGAATTTATAACTTTTTCTGGAATAAGGTTGTGAATGATCTTGTTCGTGTTATTCAAGATCCAATCATTAATCGTTTGGCGAGCCTCTTCTGGACTGTTTTTGAAGTCTACCTTGTAAATACAAATTTATCAAAGTGTCTAAAAATACTCCGGTCATGCAGGCTGTGAAATGTTTTTTCAAGGTTTCAACGAAGGCATCCTGAAGCATAAATCCAGATTGCAGAAACATTCCATTTGCTTGAAGGATGTTTGTGTCTTTTTCGCTTTTCAAAACACTCTTCATATCATCACCAGCGCATTTTATGGCAGCATCAAAACTTTCCGTGTGGTTGAAACGAAGGGTGCTTAAAATTTCACTCCTGGTGATTTTGTCGCTACCAGCAAGAAGCATTGAAATAGTTGAGTATAGACTGACAGGCGATATAAGACAATTTTTACTTTCCCCTATGGCAATGAACAATGAATTTGAGACATACCGGACGAATCCTTAAGGAATTCACTGTACAGTTGTTGTGCAA